GGACAATCACAAATGTGGCGTTCTCGTGCACGGAAACCAACCGACAAGAGCGCTTGGGCCTTGCAAAGTAAGCTGCTAAGCTGCAGATTTTTTCTTATCAGGCTGTTGTCTGGCGCCCTCTCATCTGTAGCGCTCTCTCGCCTCATACTCTCCTCTCCGCGCTTAGTCTCTCATTCCCTTAGCACAGCCGATTAGGAAGGTGAGTGAGCCCTTAACCTAGCGTTTTTGACGGATTCTTTTCCTTTTTTCTTTACTGCCGGCCCACTTCCCACCAGTACATTCACATTCGTGCACATGCCTGGGGTAGGCCTTTAAATACATCTGATGACGGAGCATATGCTTTTTTCAAATAAATTGTATAGCGGGGTAAAGAGGGGTAGGGGTACTACAGGATCAAATGGTACCAAAAGGCGTGGAATTAGAAGATTCTTGTAAATCGCTTCTTCCCAACTGTAGCACCCTAGTTGATAGGCACTTACCGAATTTATTTCTTTCTCTTCTACCTAATGTTAGTCGCACACACGGAAAGTGGTCAGGATCGCTTGCCTTGCCCTTCAAAGCCCATTGCTCTTTTTGTCAGATAGTCCTGTGTTCTCCTGAGCGGATACCATTGCAGACATGGTTCCCGCGCCTGTATTCGGACTTAGGCACTCTGCAAAATAGGCAACCCTTCTCACGTCCTCCTCGACTCGTCTCCGAACCTCATTTCTGCCTAAGGCTAAGAAACATCGCTGCACAGCATCGCAGATCTTTCCACTGTTCAACACTTCTTAAATTCTGGAGCACCTCCGTTAACAAATTTTGGCAGACACCTAATTCGTCCGCATTGCTGCGCTGATGGCAAGGATACATACAGTACCGTGCAGTGAAGTATTCGTTTTCACTTTTTTAAACGTAACTCCCTCAAAACTCAAGCTTTTGTTCCGATTTTTTGTAGGTGAGAACACATCACTCTACCTGATAAGGAAGCAAATCTTCAGTTGTCTAGGTGGCTTCTATACTAATTTAGAAATTTTTAATTTTTTTCGGTCCAAT